TACAAATGGCCGATTGTGGAAGATTCAAAACGTCGAATTGCCTATAGCTCAGACTATATGGATTATTTCTATCCACACTGGATAGGACTATAACTATGAACAGTCTTTTTGAATAAATATTATTTTCTAAGCAGGATTTATTCAAGTTTTTGGCTGCAATACTAATGTTGCATAAATTTTATATACTAAAATACGTATGTAGATACTTTTATTACAAAAAATATTTTAGAAGCAGAATTATTGTTATCATGTATAGATGTTGTGGAAATATTTCCTCTAGCCTTAGAATTTTACTCAGCTCAATTTTGGGGTGTTTCAATTCTTAATAGTTTCTACACTTGCAAGGCAGTTGCTGTAATAGATTCAACATTAAATTCAACTTGCTTTGATAAGACAATTATCAGGTATTTTGGTCTGTACCATTGTGTACATTTCGAGAAAGGAAATTACTTGTTAAATAAAATTAATAAATGATGGTTCTGACAATTAGAACACTCAAAGCGTCAAAGATTTCTTCTTTTTTTTAATCTAAACCTAGAGATCTTGGATCCGAATTAAGAACTATACTGTGCACATCAGAGTTTTAGGTCAGTTTCATTTTCATGAAAATTTGCATTTTTATCGGAGTTTCTGCTTTTCATGGATCAATAATTTGATCAAACCTCTGTTTCCATTTTTTTTTTTTTTTTTTCAAAAATCCAATTTGGATATTGAATCAATACAGGATGCACGATAGCAGAGCTAATGATAAAGTTTTAGTTTCTTTCGATTCTGAACCGAAAATGGAAATCTTTTGAACAAATTCAACTTTCCGATATAACATTTAAGTTTAGAATACTACTGTGTATAGGTAGTTTCTGAGTGGGCGTTTTGTGGCATTTTAACCCCGTTTAATTTAAATTATGGCTTTTTTTTTTTGTAATTTTTGTAAGTTTTTTTTACATGACATTTGACGATTTATTTCTTTCAGGACCGTTTTGAATTGTTTATTTTTAATTTTATTGAAATTTGAAAGGATAGTTTAAAATGAAACAATGTTTTATACGATTTTAAAGATTTCTCAGTGATAATGGCCTTTAATGAAAGCAGATGTAGACATTGTAGTTATCAAACAAGTAAATGTGACTACCATCTATAATGCTTTCAAAATCTGCTTCTATGAATGTATGCATTCTTTAAGTTTGTCGTGGCCAATTGTGGATATATACTGTATATCGGGTTAATTTTACTCCTGCAATTTTTTTACGAATTTTTATCGTAGGTGTTTGAATGTTTTATATATTAATTTGATGCTGTTATATTGTCATAATGGGTTTTCTTTGTTGAAAAAGATAATGACATATTTGCACTTCATATATAAAAAATTACCCTCTCCTATATATATGGGGTGCGTTCCTTTCACGCTTCCGAAAGTCCAGAACGCGTAGAATTGCAATGGAACGATTTGGAATCCGATTCCGGACGGATTCTCTCTATCCTTTCTAAAGAGGTGGTGCAGCGGGAATTATTACGTAACAAAAATGGCGGAGAAAAACGTGCTTTATCAATGTGAAGACTGCAATTTGTACTTTTCCAGCTTAGATGATGTTAAAATGCATAGATGCACAACGGAATCAAGTGAGTTTTGTTACTGTGTATACGTTTTACTGCAAATGCTTATTTAAAAACTTAAATTTATAGGGATATTTAGTGCGCACCTTATTAGCCATCATAAAGGCCCAAGATGGGTCAAGAAAATCTTAGATTTTTAAAGGGAAAGTGGGGGGGGGGGGTACAAACCTAAAAAATGACATATTTACGAGGAAAAAAGTGTATTAAAAAGGACAAGTAAAAATTGTAATAGTAGGGAAAGGGGTCGATCACAGTGGCGATCTTTTTTCGAATCTCCTCGTCTTTTTGAAAGCATATCCAAATGGTATTAACTAAATGAAGGTTTACCTTTTAGCACCCCTCCCCCTTTTTAATTCTGCCATTTATATCTTTTGCAATTGAGTTTTATAATTTGCAATGCAGCAGTATGTACTTTGATATTAATGTATACTATTAGTATAAAAGATATTTTTTCTCATTTAGGCGGAGAAAATAATTCCATCCTTGTGACAAAACAAACAGCACATGAAATTAATGCCGAAAGTCAAATGAAAAAACGCACGATAACCCAGTGCCACAAGTGCAGCATATACTTCAACGACATGGAGTTGATGTCTGAGCACATATGTCAGAAACCACTAGCAGGGACACCATCATCAGGTAATTAATGTTAAAGTTAAAAATTTTACAGATTAGTATACCTGGGAGGTTGCACTTTCAAGAGATTAATATTTCCTCCTCCCATAATAAGTAGTAACTAATTTTGTACTAATTACATAGGAGTAGATATATTTCACATCAAGAGAAAAATATTGAAACTGTTACTCAAAAGAAGTAATTCTATATAGTATATGATCTTCATATTCTGGAATAAACACCATAAATAAATACATGTAACAGGTTGTGTCTAACATGTATTTTTTTTAAATGTTAAGCATTGAAAGTATATATTTATTAATTTTAATGTTTTCTAGGAGATGAAAAGGAGAGTAAAGTTGCCTCATGCAGTACTGCGGATATAGGTATGTCTTGGACACGCTCTAGTACCTTACTTCTAATAACCAAATACAAAACATATCAAGAGAAAATTAAGAAAGGTTTGATCAAGAAGAAAACCATGTGGGAGGAAATTGCCACAGGGATGAAAGATGAAGGATACTCCTATAATCATGAGCAAGTCTCAGGGAGATGGAAGACTTTGCAGAGAGGATACAAAGCAGTCAAAGACAATAAGAAGAAAAGTGGAACTGGAAGAAAGCGTTTTGAATATGAGTCTGAATTGGATGAAATATATTCCAAAGATCCTGCCATTACTCCAGAAGTAACTGCCTGTAGCACTGACTCCAAAATTTCTGCAGAAGTTCCCAACGATTCAGAGGATGGTGACGATGAGAGTTCAAGGTCGTCTACGCCCACACCATCAGGTTCAGGTACTAATCCAAAGAAAAGAAAGCGTACATCTACTTCAACAGAGGTCATTGATGTAATGAAAAACTTTATTGAAAATCAGGAAAAAAGAAGAAAGGAGGAAAGTGAGCGTAAAGAAAAAATGCATCATGAAAAGATGGATTTGATGAAAAAACTCATTGAGACAATGGGAGCACATCACTAGTGAGTGTTGTGTTCCTTATACCTTGGCTCAGCACAAATATCCTTACATGATAAAATTAAAATATGCATATGGCTGAAAATTATTATTACATGTATTTACTTGTACTTTTTGTGTAAATCCTTAGAAAATTGAATTATCTAATTTTAATTTTAACATTATTATATTAAATACATGTACACATTTAGTTCCTTGAAATCAAAGAGTAGGAAACATTCCATTACATGCGTTTGGTCATTATTTTTACAATACATGTACAGTCATGTACTATTGTTACATTTAATCCATTTACAAGTTCTTACTCCATGTTAAAGATTACATATTACATGATCTTGACTTTGCTCATAGGAACTCCTGTTTAATTTTTGTTGATATAATCTCTTTTCAGGTGAATGTGAAATCTGCATGGAAGAAAGTCATCCAAAAGAAGTAGTGTTTGTTGACTGTGGCCACCTTGTGTGCTGTATTCCATACAGCAAAGCTCTAGAAGTCTGTCCAATATGCAGATCAAGAATTGCGAAAAAAGTTAAAGTGTTTTTTACATAGACTCTTAAGCACAAGGGCACAAAATAGTGAATGGTTTCTTTCATTTTTTAAAACTTGTTCTGAGTTGTGCCATAAAACTTTTCAAAGTATTTGTGGTAGGATTTTTAATATTTCGTTTTATCACTGAAAGCAATGCAGTTGTTTTTGTTTCATCTGTTTGTTGATTTTTTTTCTTGCAGAGGAAAAGTTATTCTCCTGAAAATTCAACTATGTACTATACATTACACAAACTGTTATTGGATAATTGCTAGTCAGAATTGTTTGCATTTTTTATTTTGTTTTGGTACAATTTAACAAATAGTTTTTATTATTTGCTACAAACTCCCAAACAGGTTATTTTCATTGTCATTTTTCTATTTTATTATGTCCAAGTATTAAACATTTTTTTCTACATTAGTTCATGATTACTTGCTTGGAACTGAAAAAAAACATGGATGGATAATGTATTACATGTAATTTAGATTTGGCTACAGCTAAAAAAAAAACTTTGTTTGCAGTTGTTTACCCACAATTCTAAGAGTGGCTAGATAGTTGTTTTTTTTTAAAGAAATAGTTTGGCTTTTATACATTACAAATCTTGTGACTTTTAAAGGATGCTTGAATGCACCAACCTGCTTTATTTGAGTCCCTAACCAAGTTCATTGATGGACATAATTGAGAACTAAGTAAAATTTTTGTAATATTTATTGCTTAGACAACTAAATTCTCTTAAACTTAAGTGTTAAAAAATAAGTTTGATGAATAGGTGAAATGGGGGTGGGGGGGGGGGTGGGGGGTTAGATTCATTGAATCTATAAGTGGATTTGTAGGCAGCTGCAATGAATAATTAATTTTTTGACCTTGTATTACGTTCATTTATGGCAATGTCTATTGGAGAAACAATCTTTTTTTTCTTCCATGACCATGATATATTGAACTTAAGTATCATTTGTTGTTATTATCTTTTAAGCTGTAAGGAAAAGAATGTTTGTGGCATGTAGTCTTAATACATGGATTACAATGTAAATTTCATCAAAACATCTGTAAAGGACTTTTTACAGCTGACTTTAAATACCTGTCAAGATATATCTTACTCTTTTTGACATGTTCCATAGTTTTATTTACATAAAAAAACATATAAGTTCGATTTGACATCTTTTGTTGAGTTTTGTTACATTGTTATATTTTTCTGTATTAAATTGTATTGAACAGTTACTGTATTCTTTATTGAATATGATGTTTAAAAACATGATGCATTCATTCTGAAGTTAGCCTATCACAAAAGATTCCTGGCTATTTGATTACGTTTCTGTACACCCTGGGCTTCACAGTCCTGGATTCCTGGAACATTATAATTTGCTGCAATAACATCTTGCTGAATGAAATCGTCGACTTCATCATGGTTGAAAATGCAGACATTATGTAAAACACAAGAGGTCATGATAATTTTGACAGCATACTCAATTTTCTGGGTTTCCAGGAAACGCAATCGGCGGAATCTACCCTTCAGAAGAGCAAATGCTCTCTCAATTACCATTCTGTTGCTGGACAGGTAGTTGTTATAGCGGCGTTGCTCGTGTGTCAGGTGACCATTGTCTCGGTAGGGAGTGAGTAGCCATATTCTTAGTGGATAGGCTGCGTCAGCTATGATATGGTATATATTTGGAATCATTTGTAATCCATTTTCCCATAAATCGGAATTCCTAAGAACTCTTGCGTCGTGACAGCTTCCTGGAAATCCGGTAAATACATGAGTAAACATCATGTCTTCCTTGCATACCGCTTGTAACTGCAAGGAAGGAAATCCCTTCCTATTGATGTATGAATCTCCATGGTTTGTTGGTTTTGCTATTCTAATATGAGTCCCATCTAATGCACCAGCAATCCCTGGAAATCCGTTCTTTTGCTGGAAATTGTTTGCGATTTGATTTAATTCATTGGGATTGGGCCATTTTATAAATTTTGACTTGAGATGAGTTAGAATTGAATTCATAACTCGGTCTCTAGCCCTGATTACCGAGGATGGCGAAATGCCAAAACGGTCTGCTATCCTGTCAATGCTGTCGAGAGTCCCTAGGTACCATAATGTGGTTAAAATATCTTTTTGTGGAGACATTCGTTCTTTACCGCCATTACCGTCTTTCTTCATCTCTGGAACTTCCTCTAGATATGAAGAGAGGATTTGAAATGTCTGTCTTGACAGTCGAAACATTCTTCTAAATGAAGCATCAGAATAAAGGGGAACCACATCCTCCACATATCCATATATTTTTGGTTTTTCTTTCTTTCTGTAAATAAAAAACATCCAAATGAATATTTATTTCATATGCCAACCTCATTTAGTTTTTTTTTTTCATTTTTGTTTCAATACTAATACCTAAGCCACTATAAAACACACGTGATCAAAAACCTTTTAGTTTTTAATTGATTCATAAATAGCCTTTACTTACATAGCGCCTGCTAGTGCAGGTAATAAGATATTTTCGTCCTCAGAATCAGAGTCAGTGTCGGAATCTTGATATAAAAAAAAAGCAGACAGGTTTTCCGCCCATTGGCAGCCATGTTGAAAATTTCTCTTCTGTTCCGGTTCATTCCATTCATCAAGGAGAACAGAACGTCCGGAATCGAATCGGAACGAATGAATGGAACGCATCCGTAGTTAATTACAATGATTAGGAAGACTATTTCTGAATAAACTTTGCAGAAGATATAATAAAGGCTTTTAAATTATGCATTCCAGAAAATGTTTATCATCGCGCAATTTTTTCTTACTTTTAAATATATGTGGAGAACTAGTGTATTCTTACAGTTAAATAAAACTGTAACTACAGCTGTAAAACCTACCTTTAATAAGAGCACTAATGAATAGTCAACTGATCTACATAGTAATTACGCTTCCTCTTCAATGGAGCCAGACCTAGTGTTCTTCTTTGTTGATAAGATAGGTTTGTATACTTAAGAAGAGAGTATGTTATTTGTCATCCATCCAAATCGTCAGTTAAACGTCAGATATAGTTGAAATTCAATATAAATAGCTCATTATTTTCCAAAATCTAATTCTAATGTATAATGGATACTTCAATATTCAAACATAGAAGCACTCAGAAAGGAAATAAAACTGTATTTAAATAAATCTGTCCGATGACTGCTTTTATTGGATATCAAATTTTACACATCTTGGCATGAAAATTACAATGTCTCAGCCACAGAATTGTGACAACTGAAGATAACAAGATGCGAATATAAGATGAATCAAACATACCTTATGATATATAAAATGACTTTTTTCTTTTCAGATAGTAAAATAGATATGGAAAGTTTTTGGAAATATACTTGTTTTCCAATCCGATATATCCATACCTGCATGATTTGATTTACTTATCTAAATACTGTGGAATCATTTAAATTCGTGGGGGTCAATGTTTGTGGGCAAACAAAATTTTGTTCGTTCGTGGGGACGTACTTTCGTGGGTAAGTCGTATATACAGAAGATTCAATGAAAAAATGTTGAAAAAATAATTTTTCGTGGGGGACCAACGTTCGTAAATAAGGATGACCCACGAAATCCACGAACGTTGGTCCTCCACGAACATTGATCATTCCACAGTAGACCTTTTTTCATTAAACACCAGTTTCTTCCACGTCAGAAATGGTTAGTGTAACACCTTTTAAATTGCTGTGATGTTGTTTTGTAGTTTGTGTCACATTCCTCTCACCTGTGGAACACCTGGGTAAATCTGAAGGTTCCACACGATTGTTAAACTTCACCCTGCTCATGTATAGCCTCCCAGAATCCTCGGCATTGTTTTTCGTGCACGAGGCGAAGCCCCATTTGAAAGATTTGAATGTATTGTGGCTTAGAAAGAACATAAATGGATTGTATGCACAAGAGGATTTTGCGAATAGTGTTGGTAGTAATGCGATCGGTGATGTGATGTTAATACCAGCTGCAGCTACTGTAGACAAGATGGCATAAGGTGTCCAAGTAAATACGAATGTCACTGTCATCATGAGGGAAATCTGCCAATAGGAAAAAAATGTAAATCAGTAGAAATATCAATTGTGTTGATGACAGATGTATGACAGTGCACGTAGTTTTACAATAAATGCAATCGCTCAAAGACGTTGAGAACTCTCGTTGACAGTTCTTTGGAACATACATGTAAAGATAAACATATCCTGGCATAAAAGATTAATTGTTGATTAATAATAACGATTTACTATTTTTACCCACCTTTGGATGATACAAAGTAAAGAAAATTGTGGGTAAATAAAGTCAATATTTTTAACCACCTCTCGATCATTTGTGTTTGTAGATACAAGTAAATATTTGTAACCACCCATTGATCATAAAAAAAATTTTAAATAAAAATTTATTGTTGTTGTAGATAAAAGTTATTTGGCATTTCAACTTTAGTTTTTAATCCTTTCCTTTAGAATAACCTTTCCTCAGAGTTTTGGTTGACAGTATGATTGCTATAAAGTAAAATATTTTAAAATAAAAAATGGTCTACATGGACTTGAATACCATGTAATAAATCAATAGCAGTATCAAAATTTAATCTTTTTCTAATAAAAAGTTTATGTGAGAACAAAGGTAAAATTATGGTTATGCAGAGGACATTCGGGCAAAATTTTAATTTTTCATTTTTAACATTTTTTTTCTAAAGATATTATTCTGAAAGTTAAGATAATAAGATTTTTAGTATAATTTATTATATATTATGAAGAATGGATAAAATAGACAGAGGAAATTTGGACTGGAATATTTAACAAGCTTACTGTACAAATTTTGTTTATCTATATTTTGGCAACACTCATCCCTCTTCAATATATTTCATCATCCAAAGAATATTGTTTTTGTTATATTTTGTAATTAAAGAAAACATTGGTGAAAAAATGGAATATTTTCCGAGAAATACTCATGGGGCCACTAGCATGATAAGTAGGTCATTGACCTAGTTATTTGATAGTGTTAATGAACTCTATAATCATAGGGCTTCTTCTGAAATTCCTCTATTAGTACAATTATAAGGTTCATAGATAATCAAAGATGTTCGTAAGCTTGGGAAAACTGAACAAGAGTTAAAGTGCTGACAACAAATTTACTTTAACTTGTTTTGAAAGAAGTATTATTTATATACTTTTCTGAAATGACATTTAGACTATCATCACAAAATGAAAAATACTTGACCTAAAATTCTGAACACTCCTTGGATTTCTTACCCTTGTTGCCCCTTTCTCTAGGTTATACAGGAACTTGGACTTGTTCTCGGTATCGCTGGGTTGGGTAGTGGAGGAGAGGCGTCGTGCATGGTTAGCAATTTGACCGTAGGAGAAAATCATGACGGTCATCGGGAATATATAGACAAACAGCAAACACAGCCATACATAGGACTTATCACCAAGCGAGTGACCAGTCCAGCGAATACTACAGGTTATGTTGTACGGCTCCAACTCATAAGTGTTCCATCCCAGGAGTGGGGAAAGAGTCCAAAGAATACTGAAGCTCCAGATCGCCACTAAAGTTCCCAGGATCCGCCCATACTTTACTCGGGCTACTGAAATGTTCAGATTGAGGTTTATACAAGTGAGCTGAAGTTAAATGTAGTACTTCTATAATTTTTAATTTTAATTTAAACAATATTTTATTATGATTAAACATAACTTGATTGGACAGCAGGCACTACCTATATAAGTCCTCTCCACAATACAGGTCAAGTCATACATGTTACAGTAAATATTAATTACATAACATTGAAAAAATATATACATGTGTATATTCTAAAGAGATTTATATATATATATATATATATATATATATATATATATATATATATATATATATATATATATATATATATATATATAAAGAAGACAAAATAAGTAGGGAAAAAATATAAATGAGCTGATGATACTATATAAGTTTGCATTTAACATATATGACTGATAATTATAATAATACAAGTATAAATGTGAAAGTTAATAAGAACACATAAATAGATGTTGGTTCTGTGGTTTGACAAAATTAAAAAAAAAAAGAATCAATATCATGCAAATCTCTTTGTAGATGCAATAAATTCTTGAACAATTTTAAATACGGCAATATTTTGGTTGTAAGTAAGATTATTGTCTCCATTCAGAATAAGTTGTAAGGATATAGGCATTGGTAATTGCAAAGTATTAAAGTTTTGCATAAGGTTTTGCCTTTGTACACAATATTTTGGACATTTCATAAAAAAGTGAAATGATGTTTCAGAGCTATATCCGCACATGTCACAATTTTAATATTCCCTTAAAAAATGATTAAATAAATCAGCATTTAAATTACTAGCATTATTTCGCAATTGACAATATAATATATTCATTTTACGACTTCCATAGTTGTAATATTTCTTAGGTTTTTTCTTACATACGTAGGCATAATGGTTTTATCATGTGTTTATAAGTAAAGGAAAATATTCTGTATAGTAGACTTAGGACCTCATTAGCTTCAGGTTTTTCTGGCAATCGTAATGAACTAGAATTCAAAGTTTTATTTTCACATAATTAAAAATTGATTGTTGTATTGTTTGTAGCTAAAGTTTTTTTTTCTTCTCTTTTAAAGGGCCACTTTTCACGTTTATTCAATAAAATTTGTTTTTAAATCATTTAATCATTTAATAAAATCATTAAATCATTTAATAAAATCATTAAGCTTTTTTTCTTTATTTTAATTGTAATGTTTCCGCCAATGTACTGTAGCTGAAAGAAGCCATTGACAATGCTATTGCCTGTTTTGTCTTCAAATTCTTTGAAAACAGATCAATGCTCTGTAAACCCAGAAGAACGCTGGGCAAAAAATTTGCATTGAAACTTTGATTTAGGCAGAACTATTGGTTCTAAAACATAAAGAAATCAATATATTTCGACAATATACCGGTTTAGTTTTAAATATGGAAGTCGCCAAACGTGATCTGTTGCATACTACCGTGAAATCACTAATTTCTGTGAGGTTTCATTTTCGTTGTTTTCGAGGTATGAGCAGACCCACGAATTCATATTCACCACGAAATGTAAAATGTCATATACATAACTACTCAACAATTCTTTCCAAGAAATCAAAATTGTTTTTCCTCAATCCATGAAAATTGAACCCCACATAAATATGTGATTTAACAGTATGTTGCGCTGCTGGGCTTTGTCATTGTTATCAGAAATACATTGTGTGAAGTTTCTTCCCTTTTATTGATCCTTGTCAGATTTATCTCTCTAGGAATTCTTTGAATTCACAACAATCCTAATATCAACTTACTGTATCTGTTCTTGCAGACAATCTGGCAGCGGAAATAGCTAATAGCGGCATAAGTCAAAATGTTGTTGCAAGCGCCTGCGAAACTGATAAAAGCGTACAATTGACAACCTGCTACTTCGAGGTTCCACCTACAAATATAATCATGTTGAAAGTTGAGCATATTGCATCTCTATATATTTATAAAACACTAAATACAGAAATGACCAAAACAAAAACTTCGAGATATGTGAAGATTCGAGATATCCATGGTAAAATACTAAAAGAGTGAGGGATTGGAACTTCCAAATCACTTTGACATATCCATGGTATTCGAGATATCAGTGTTCGAGATACCGAAGTTCACCTGTATTTCAATCATTTATTACAATAGAAACAGAATCTAAACATGAAAAAACATGTTTTGCTGAAAACAAAAAAGTGTGTGTGTGTGAGGGTGTGTGTGTGTGTGTGATTCTAAAAACCTCTCTTAGAGATCCACTCCTCATTTTCACAATCAACACTATATGTAGAAGATCCCATGGGCCTCTACACTCACAATTCACAATTTTCTTCCCGTCAATGTAAACCCTTTATATGACCATCATACTACAGTCCATGATTTCAAAAATTTAAAATAATTTATATGGGCTTGGTGAAAATTTAGCAAATTGTAACCTTTGTGTTTTTACGAGGGTTATCGAAAGTTCGTGGACTATGCCAATATTCGTTATACTATCCTCAAGAATTTGAAATGATCATATTATCATATGTAAAAATGTTTATTTTGTTTAAATGTGAAGTTTCATTCCATGTGATTTAATAGACTTAATGTTATTTAATTTTAAAATCAACACGTTTTGTAACCACGGAGCAAACTCAATAACACCGCAACGTCAAAAACATACCGACATGAGGTTCTCAAAAATACTATTCCTATACATTGCACGCTGTTTTGCCCAATACCAGTGCACTCATTAAAAACGTTTCTCTATCACTTGAAATCAATTTTGCTAACAATTGTTCCAGTAGTATCATTTCGTTTGTCAATGCTATATAATTTTTTCACTGCGTAAATGGGCTTTCACATGATCAGCATCTGTGAAGAGCCAAACTCTTAGCATGACGTTACTAACTTTTCTATGTTTTTGATATAATTTTTACAAATTAGCATAGTAGTATATCATTCAAATATCGCTTGTACCATGTACACACACATGCATGGATCGCTTTTGACATATTTCCTACTTCCTCCGGCATTTTCAGATTTTTTGCTGGAGTTTTCCAGAGCACAACACAAAATTGTATGGTTAAGAGCTGCTCCCTGACGTTCTACGACGTCATCTTTTTTGCCTTTTTCAATGAGGACTACCTATCTTCTGAAACCGATTTCTTTTCAACGATACAAAATATTAAGTCATAAATTGGAATCGGATACAATTGTTAATTTGAATGTGTAGAATTTTTTTCCTTTTTTTTTCGGTGTCATTTTACAGAAGATATGACTTCAGACATTATCTAGTGTCTTGATTGTAAATTACGAAATTTTGACCTGCTCCATGATCCGTATTTCGAATGTTTTAAGTCTAGATAATTTTGAAATAAACCACGATATTTTAAAAGTTTTTAATACACATCGTTTGAATTTACCGTTGAAATATTTCATCCAAATTTGGATATAATATGACGTTAAGTAAGAAGGTTATGACGATAGTCCACGAACATTCCGAACAACCCTCGTACAGATATCTGTATGGTTTGGTTTAAAAAATACTCTTAGCGGTTCCACTATTGATTCCACTGGTAGAGATCACAATTTGCATGAACTTAAAGTACATAACATGCGATTGTTTGCATACAGATTTTAAATTACATGTATTAATAAGAAGATTTTGAAGATTTTTTCCAGTATATTTTTGTTAATACATTGTTATCCCATTAAAGCCTTTTTCCAAGCCAAGGGGGTCTTTTTATGAAGTAAACTGGAATCTAAAATTCATAAATTTGCTTGCATATTAATTTGACAAATTATGGTCCTATAGTTCTTTCCATGAGAATCTTAAGATAGTTTTCCAGACACTGTATTGGCTGCTTGAATATATTTGACCTATCATGGACATTGCTAATCATTTAAGATTTCAAAACATAATATCCCTACGTATTTCTATGTAAATTTTTGACGCCTTACTCTGGCCCAATCGGTCATGATTTGAACCAGTATAAACAAGCTTTTACTTTTTTTTTTTGGTCTTGTCTGTTTTGAGAAGGAGCTATTTAGCTTATTGATTTTTTCAGCTTTGGAAGGTGAAATGACTATTAATTAGAATAAGCATTAATTTAATTACTTTCACTCAAGGATGCTTCATGGCGAGTTTAATGAAAAATGTCTTCATGGCTTTGGAGAAGTCCAAATTGTTAAAAGTTTTTCACAGACAGACAGACAGATGAATGATGAAAAAATTTTATAAGAAAACAAAAAGTTCAAATAAGTCAGATAAAAATCTTGCAAGTACATATTTCATGTTATTACCATGAAAAATCTCTTAATGACATATAGCGAAAAATGAATTAAATGTTAGAAGTTCCAAATTCTATTAGAGGGATTATTTGCCTACCTATAGGAAAATACATGTATATTTTTGTGCTTATTTTAATGAACATGACCATTTCTTTAACATTACAACACTTACCTCTTGCTAAAGGCGGTGGTCGCTGACATTGGAAGTGCCAAAAGAGAAACTGTTAGATCCGCCACCGCTAGATTGACAATGAACCAATTTACCGGTCTCTTGTACAAGCTCTTCCGCCAGAATACAAAAAGAACGAGACAGTTTCCAAACATGGCTGTAGGGGCTGAAAATACCAAACATATACTCGTAATTGTTAATCTTCATTAAACTGTACATGGTTGTTGGCCTGTTGCTTTTTTTATTATTATTATTTTGTTCTATTTCAATAATCAAGTTGAAGGTTTGGTCATATTTGGCAATAAAATATACTAGCCTTCAGCAATGTTCATTCATCAAAGTTTCGAAAGTTGAATGGTTAACTGGTCCTTCGGACTAAGTGAATACTAGCATTGTTCTAAAATACTAAATGATCATGGCTGATATTATGAAGGCCAGTAATTGTCATCTTAATTTCAATATATTTCTGCATCATTCCTCTTTAATTACGTGTTCATCGATCAATTGCATTTCACTAAGTACTATTTATACACAGTATTTTCACCAATCAACCAATCAAAGTCGGAATGTCAGTTGTCAAGTAACATACAAGTTATAGATCGTAAATATTTTTTGTCATGAAAAATGGCAAGTGTCTTTTTATGACAAACAAATGTCAGACATAATAATTGATAAGAGACATAACGGTTTAATTAAGGAAACAAGTAGATACGACTGAATAGAAATCTAATCGAAAACTTAAGATTATTCTAATTGATGTACAGAGATACAAAAACAAACAATCAAACATAAACAAATCTGGATATCATTATAATTTGGAGAAAGACTACTATTTTACTATTACAATAAATGGGGGGGGGGTGTTTTATGAAATGTGAAGATACCGAAGACTAATCATGCTCAAATATCCAATGAAACAATACAAATTGTACGCAGAGCAAACAAGGAACTCAAAGCATCAGAGGTTGGAATCAGGTGCCATTGAGGATCATCACCTGTCGATCGGTCACACCCGTCGTGTGTCCTTTGTCATGATCGGGTATGCCGAGAAATCTGCAGATCATTCAGTATGAAAATAATGGCCTAACAATTTGTATAAAAGAAGTCAGTCAGCATTCGACCTAACGACAAATTGTATTTGCAGACAAGGTCATTGTATCGACCATAGAATTTCCCCAATGTTGACATTAACCGATATCGTATATACCCTTGTATCAACAACTTATTTGTCGGTACACTGCCTCATTTTAAAATTGTTCTTAATAAGAACATTGAATTTTCTTTAATCTTTATCAATAGTAAACACAGTAAATTGCAAAATTTTAAGGAAAAATATCTGACAGTTTGCACAATTTTGTATGAATTAACTCTACTTCTGGCCCCAAGACCATAAACTGAGAACAGACTTAAGTCAAAATTTTAAATCAATATAACTTCTGAAATAATTTCGATAATGAAATAAAATTTTCATCATATGTTTTGATTGGAATATTACACAAACCTGCAAATTTTTAAGTATGTGTGTTAAATAAAACACAAGATATTCAAAATCAAAATTTTTACTTAAATCTGTTCTCAGTTTATGGTCTCGAGGCCTGGTTTCTTGAACAGAAGTTGTGTGAGTCTGCATCCTTTAGTACAAGAAAAAAATATCCATATGTATGTCTTCTGTCTCCTCAAGCTTTTAACTCCGGAACCCCTGATTGAAAATGTATTCCAACTTAAATATGTTGTTGACTAAGATTTAAAAGATGTATCTTGATGATGTTGATTCTTAAAGGTCAAGGAGGTCATGTGTATTATAAGTGGAGAGATAAGGGTAAATTATAAAAGGTAAAAATATAACTATGAGTTGTTAATTTCATATAATAATCGCCATTTACATTATGAGTGTACAACTTGTGGTTGTGTGGATGTGTAGGAGGGGGGGGGGGGGTGTTGAAGCGTCAACAGCAATGAATAAAACCCCGAATTTGTAAACCTACACAAACGAAACCGAGACAGGCCTTCTACAAAAAGACTGATTTTCACCTCTTATGCCGAGTGGATGTTGATGGAATAGACATTACTTATATTTAACTGCAGAAATCACAGGATATTTTCAGAAAGGTGTTTAATGACATTGATTTTCCGTGATGACTGTATAATGCGAGACTTAACTCAAATTATCTCTTACCAAAAAGCCGCTTTCTTAACAGTTAATCATCCCATGTATTGTAAATTAAGTTGTACTTAAAATGACAAGACTCTTATCACAGCACGTAACTTACAGTAACTTACTGGATTTCACATGGTTAGTTCTTTAGTTTAAACATAAATTATTCCTCTGGAATAATGACCATAGTGGTTTCCTTATTTTTTACAGATTACGAATAAAAAGAAAGTGTGTGATTAGCCTCCTCAAAGAATAAGTTTGACTTTTGAAGTAATTTAGATTAAAAGTAATCACTTTATTAAAATTATTGATTTATTTAAATAAGGAAAATTAAGGAGGATGGGGCGCTTAAAATATGGATTTCGAACTTTGATTATTAATTAACTGCAGCTTTTAATGTTACATTTTGCATTCTATGTATCTCTAAATAGCGTTATACATTTAACATTATATAAAAATCTTACAAATCTTAATTATTGCAACCCTGCATAAACAAATGGATAAATTAAAAGACTAATACGTATGTGTTTGTTTAGTGAACCAAGTTATTGTTTATTATTATCATTAAAGATAATCATTTCTCAAATTTGAGAAACCTATGGCCCCTTTCCTTTACCAGATCTTTACTTTTGGCTTAAAATACCAATTCATCACCAATTGTACTGTAATCAGTACTAAATTTATTTTTAAAAAAGTCATTAATGCCTAGTTAATAGAGCATCCTAATGCAAACTTTAATTTGCTCGATTTCATGATGTGTTTTCGTGGTTATCCACGAACCTACACCTTATTTGTCGAAAGAACGTGATCAAAATTCTATATTCTCATGAAAAAATGTGTAAAACTAAGCGTAAGGATTAGCTTATTTATTTTTCTTAAAAAATACTCAAAAATATCAGTAAGAACATTGGCCGAGCAATAACATGCTCGCCTGTGAAATTCCTGCATTATCACAAAATGTTGTGAGATACGCCTGCGGCTTTGGCCAAGATATTGCCACACAAAACATGCTAATGACACATATAAAACGTAATTTTAGCCGTGACTTTGATGTAAGACGTGTTATATGTAAAAGAGCTTAATGATTGTGATTCCGGTATTATTCCTGCTAACACTGAGGAAGAAAACCACGATTCTGATTCAATTAATCTGAGTACCTGCAAGGATATCACATGTTTGTTCGATTGGTTGAGTTGATACATGTATATGGTGCATAAATCATATCCTTATACATAATAGGTTTATATGATTTCACCTCTGTCGATCAGATGACTATGTGTCTTAATTATTACAGAGAAATTATAGTGCAAAATTCATTATGGAAAGTTTGCTCCAAGTCATTCTTAGTATATATTCAAATGTACAAGAGAGATTCACAATCAGTATTAACTATTTTCTTTGAAGTATATAAATAGGGAGAGATTCATCATCTTTTTTTCACATATTTCGATAGCACAATGCTATGTACAGATAGAGTGCAAAATTTATACATATGCTACAAATGCTTTGGATCTTCGCCGGTAAAGTGAGGATTTTTGACTGTAAAATGATATCTAGGATTTTATAAGTTTCTGTTAGTTTTTCTTCCAGCAGTCCATCCGAGCTGCAAGAGAAATAGTAACTTCATTAGAACTTAAGGACATACGCAACGTACCTTACCTAATGATAATTTTTCAAGATATTCTTTGTTTTAGATTAAAGTGCCATCAGATGTTCGTAGACAAAAAATCAGCATGCATTACCAGGGGTTTTGAAAAGATAACAATTAATGAAAATTCCTGTATAATTGAAAGAAAAATATACAAAAATTACTGAACATATATTCAGTATGTTTTTTTTATCCAAAATTGTTTTAGAAGAAGTGTACAACAGCATATATAGACATTAAAATGTAGCACAAAGTTCCTTTAAGTATTGGAACTCTTCAACTCCAGGGAAAAAGACAATTAAGTTCAAACTACGTTGGGTATGTCCTTAAACAATTATAAAGTCGCATGTGTACGATATGTCTTTGCTTCAAAACATTGAAGACCCGAGTTTTACTCACCTTGCTTCTCAGTGGTCAGATCCGAGAGAAAAGAGAATGTTATACCAGCACGCAATTACTAGTATATCAAGGAAGCTGACAGTGAATTAAACAAGAGGTCCTTGGGCTTCAACGCTCACCTGAGTCACTTTGGCCTTGATGTTCCTCATCAGCAGATCGTATGCAAAACTTTGATCTCCTATTGTGGCCCCACCCTTGCCCGGGGGTCATGATTTGAACAAATTTAAATCTACACTATCTGAAGATGCTTCCATATCAATATTACTAATCAGGGCTTTACTGTTCTTGAGAAGAAGAATCAATTCCTATAAATTCCTCTGTAAAATTTTGATCGCCTATTGTGGCCCAACAAAACACTCCTCTTTCTAGAAAAGGGTCATGATTTGAAGAAAAAAAAACTTGAATATACATTATGTAATGAAGCTTTCCTTTAAGTTTATTTTTTATTGCGCAGTAGTTCTTGAGAAGTTCAAAAGATGCAATTGAATTTTCACTAAATTATCTCCCTTCACCCAAGGATTCTATTTGGCAAGTTTGGTTGAAATTAGCCTAGTATATCTTGAGAAGAATACGAAAATTTGAAAAGTTTACAGACAGACGGACACCCTTCGATCGGATAACCTCACTTGAACCTTTGGCTCAATGATTGACTATTGGTGGTAATAAAAGTACCGTTTGAGCCTTTGACTCAGGTGAGCTAAAATGGAATGGACCTGATTCCCAGACTCTGAGGACAAACTTCACATTCATCAATGTCTAGGAAGAGTTCTAAATGTTCATTACAATCAAACACACAGTTTACCTGCTTGCAGTTTAGGCCGCCACTTTAGGGATAAGAGAAATGCCATAAACTACGTTCTGCATCTTCTTTGACCCATTAACCTTAGTTTGAACCCTGAACTCATTTGTCATGAATTTCACAAATTAGAAAGATAATAATTAATAATAGTTCCAAAAATTGCAAGGGGAGAGAATCATAGAGGTTGTATTTATTTTAGAAGATTTCTCGTAATTTCTTTGGTCAAAGCGTACGAGAACCTAGAACTTCAGTGGCTTTGTTTCCGTTTGGATAAAGAAAAGAAATTGTGGAAAACTGACTAAAGAGTTTTGGGAAATACAAAAACGTTCTTAAGTTTACAATCTGTAGTATGAAGGATGGAAACTAATGGCTCTCCTGGTCCTGGGTGACTCGAGTGACCTTTTTTTCTGAGACTTGCAAAACAAAATCTCATTTTGTACATTTTCTTCTACACTGTAAATTGTTCATATATATGTAGCAGATAGATTTAATTAATACTATGTCCAAGCTAAGGTAAGCTCGACTAATTACATTCATTAAGGTTCATTTTGACTCGAATTTGAACTCCTTGTATAATTTCTTCAATGAACAATACTGTTGCAAATAAGAAAACGAACTTCAAATAAGATACTATTTTGCAATTACAGGTAAGGGTTAAATTTTGAATTGTATAATATATATTATCACCCTGAAAGGTGAAAATTGAAAAATATTTAAGAAGGAAAAAAATCCTGTCAGTCACCTTCTGTGTAGGTGACACTTTGTACAGAGCTTGTCTGTTAATGGATGGAGGCGCTCCTAGTGTTAATATGGAATGTAATGTCAGATTCTTCGTGTTATTAAAACATTAATAAAAGGAGAGGACTCTCAAACTTAACACGAATGCACTTATCGTAAACTGTAGCATAGAATAAAAAGATATTTTGAACACCAGTTCGACTGAAATGTGAATATCAAAAGAAACAGCAACGATTATAAACCCGTTCAACACTAAGAGTACTCAGGTGTGGTCTCCATATAACCATAAACAATTGTGATAAAGTGATATCCTATTAACTTTATATGAAAATTTTACTCTATCTCCTAAATCTAATAGTTTCTTCTTTTGCATTCATAATAGAAAGCTTTTTTTTAAAAAAAAGAAAATACATAAAATTGATAATAATGCATATGCTCATTATTTGATTAATATTGTACGTTGAGGAAACACTGGAAAAAGCTCAAATTAGACTCAGCAGGGGGCTAAACTGTACGTTCATCTGGGTTTTTTTTAAATCATCATGACTTTAAAAAAAATTAATATTCATTGATGCAACCAAAATCCACTTCTTTTCTGGAAACAAATAACAACACAGCAGATCAACATACAATTATTTCATACGCATAGTTCCTTCAGACCATGACCTTTCGTGTGACAGTGTGCAATATTTTGGTTTCAAAACGATTTATGTTCTCTGTAATAAAATTTCAAGAAGCATAACATTGTAAGTCGGGGTAAACAGGCTTAGAAAGTAACACTTAAACATTAATTAAGAATAATTTTAAAAAAGATTTGTATTTCTTTTTTAATAAACGATAAATATGTAACGATATCTTTCTTTGTTATGAAATATATGGAGATAACGAACAGTATTCAAGCTCAAAAGTCCATTAAACAATACAAATTTTGGAGCAGAGCAAGCACGGACATCTAAAACATCAGAGGTGGGATCAGGTGTCATGGAGGAGTGAGCTCCCCCTGCCGACCGGTCACACCCGCCGTGTTCTCCTTGTCATGATCGGGAAATAACGGAAAAATTCGTCGACAATTCAGTGTGTAAATAATGACCTAACAATTAGTATGAAAAACGTCAGTCAGCATTTGACTTGGTGATAAGTTGTATTTGCTGACAAGGTCATTGTATCGACCATAGAACTTAACGAAATGACGACTTTAAACTAGACTGCTGATATTCTTGTTTCATCAACTTTTTTGTTAATAACTTACCTCGTTTTAGAAATTGTTTATACGTAGAGCATACCCTTGCGTATCGAATCATCTAAGAGATATAGAAGATTTATCACTATATGAAATCATTTGTCCTTAATTGTAAATCATCATTTCAAAAATTCAGATTAATTGACTCAAATGTCCTTTCCTGGGCACTCAAAAGCTCTCAGAATGAGAATTCACCAGTTCTGGAAGAGCTTCGCCACATTTATTAGCTTCAACATGAAGTAATTCCTTGCTAAGTCCCTGTTTTTTTTGTTTTTTTTTTTATTGTTAATTTCGTTAGAAGAAGCTTAGTGTGAATTTCGATGTAAGAGTTGGACTATTATTACAAAATTAATTTCCTGAGAATGTTTTTCATTAAAAAAAATCTCAAAGTCTCCACCTTTTCATTATACGTCCCCGCTTAAAAAGCTTAAAAAACGGGGGTGTATAGTGATTTCAGTGTCCGTCCGTCGATCCGTCTAGCTGTACGTTCGTCCGTTCTACACTTAAGGGTACCCATCTCATATCATATTCGGATGTTTTACTGACTATAGACGAGAAGCACCAACTAACAACTAAATCATATGACAAACGAGAAGACTTCAGCTTTTTCTTCGTCAACTTTCCTTATTTATGTAATATTCCATATAACCTGCATTTGGTGGTTACGTTTCCCAAATTATTCGATACTCAAGAGCTTGCTCTGAGTACGATCAATTTTTAAACCCGAGGAAGACTACTGACACATAAGTTTAAAGTCAGCATTCCGTGATTTCTATGGTCGCCATAATGACTTCGTTAGCAAATAATCCTATTATTGGGTGGTATTTTGGCTGACGTGTTTCATACCAGTTTTTAAGCCTTTGTTGTTATATTTAATTTGACTACGGAATATTCCTTCTACCTGATCAATAAATAGGAGTCAAGGCAGCTGTGACTAGACGATAGGGGATGCTTACTCTTCCTAGGCTCCTGATCCAACCTCTGGAATTTCCAGGGTCCGTGTTTAAAGCCCTGTTCACAGATTTGTATCCTTTTCAGATTGTTTCAGATCAATCAATGTTCGTTATCTCCATCCTTTTCCACAACTCTTCCTATACGACTGAATAAAATTCAATGAGACATTCACAAAATCATGAAGACATAGGGCCATTGTACACCTTCTATTTTACCTTTTGATCAGATACATATTTCGGCTTTCACATATCAAAACATGGACTTTGCTATTCTTTCTATAATATATGGGGTACACATATCTTATCCGCAACGTCTCCTTTACCACTGAATAAAATTTAATGAGACTTTCACAAATATTTTTTATTACAGAGTACCATTGTGCACCTTCTGCTCTATGTTTTTTTTTATCGGACAGATATTTGGGGTTTCCCATAGCAAAAAAAAAAATGGACTTTGCCGTTATACTCATATGGAAGCGGGAGGTATCATTTTGTGAGCTCAGTGTTCACAGTACCTCTAATTTTTATTTGTGATACACTGCACTCTGAAGTTTAAACTGGATTACAATGTCGGGTCTTGACTTAGAAACTACCTCCCTTGCAAAAGTTTCTCTACCTAGTTTGTGTGAGGATGTTAAAATTCAGTAGTTGTTGGAATGAACTTGTCTACAACATTGGAATTTTGTATATGGTATTTTGATGTATTGAAATTTCTCCATTGTACATTTCTTATAACAGGGAGTATACATTTTGTTTTGCTTGTGGTAACTAACTTTCTTCATTGCACAGATTCAACAAAAGCATAATTTTCATTAAACAAAATAATTAAAATAATGCCCCCACATGGGAAATGATGTCAATTTTGTGAAGTAAAGATGCATTAAAGAAAAACATCTCCATAATTTCAAAAAAATTATACGAGTATACTAGTTTTACATTATGTAGGTCTTTTACATTTAAATGTCATTTTCGATAATTTCAAAATGGTAAAAATTTTCTTTTTCCTATTTCAAAGAAGTAAACAGACATTTCTATAAGCATATTGTAAAGCACTTGACATTGAATAAAACTCGAAAGTACATCAAAGTGTCAAGAACTTACCCAGTGTAATAAGATACACTCCTATCGAGACGTAACTAGCATCATTTAACGTCTCCCAGTCCACCACCTCACTACTGTTGTCCGTCATTGCGCTCCAAAATCTAGCGCCTCTCTCACATCTCTGGATTTGACGTCTAATCCAAACAGGTCATTTCTTATTGACATTCTCTCTCTCTCTGTGATCGTATTGGGTTGTCATTAACTTCACAATAGAATTACTCATATATATATTTATTGTTGCCATGGAGATGGATATTATCTCCTCTTTGTCGTAAAAACCAGTCTTTGTAATTTTCACGTCGTGGCTGATTTCAAGATGGTTCCATTATTTCAAGATGTTTGTTTTATTTCTTTATCAAAATGCAAGTTATAATCAGAAGCATTTGAGTCATTTTAGTATTTTTCACATTATTTTTCCTGACAGCAAAATATTAGTTTACTGAATTTGAGGTAAAATAGTGCAATAAAGCATTAATTTGTACATGCTAAAAAGAAGCATCCAATTGTTCAAAGTAGCAATTCTTTATAAAAGTTGAGACCTTTTTTGTATCATTGTTTCTTGTACTTTTATTTTGACAATATTTTCTTGTCTAATATTCACAAAAAATGATTTGATATGTTTTTGTAGACCTTTTCCAGAAGGTTAGTTTTATTTCCTCATACCTTTTTTTACACTTTAAAGCAGCAAAGATGTAATCGGATAAATGTACTTTGAAAAATTAAACGCTTCAGATTAATGGTTATAGGTACATTTATAGGGGAAAAGAGAGGCAAAATGGTAGTTTAAATTTAAATGGAACTTTTACTATATAGCAACACTGTTGTTATTCCTTAAAGTAAATATTACCAGAAAATCAAAACGGTTCAGGTTGTGCAGACAACTAGTTATGCCTGGTTAATGTTCCCCTATACACGTTAAGTAAAAGGTCTAATATATATGTTTATCCCTGAAGGAACTTTCGTTGTATTGAAAGCTTTTCGCATTGGAATTTTACTATATAGTAAAATACCCGAGGAATATTTACTTTATAGCAATTAATCCGAGGGGGAATGTTTACTATATGGTACACATTCCGGCGGAAAGTCTGCTATGCGGAAGGTTTACTATAAGAAAGCTGTCCTTTAGATGAGACCGTATAAACTGAGACCCCATGTCGCAATAGATTCCAGCAAAAAAAGATCCCTCATTAGTACTGCTAAAAGGCCACAGGTGCCCAGTAAAGGTCAAAATCTGCAGCCTTCCACCACTAATGCTGGTGATGTTCCAGCATGGATTAAATATTCTTTAAAAAAATATGTAAACAAGCAGACAATATTTATAAAAGTCCTTCAAAGTGTTGTCCCGCTAGAAAGGTTCAGATAAAAGGATTCTATAAGTGAAAAGAATGTGATCCTAAACTGTGTTATCTTTAACTACTTTTTGCTTAGAAGGAATATGGAAACGTGTCATATTACCTCAATATTTATATAACCAAAAATGAAAATTGTTTTAAATTATCCAACATTTGTCGTGACATTAATACATATCAGACTTGTTAATTATTTCAATGTAAACACATCGTGTATCTATAACATTGCTCTGTCAATGTGATAAAACACTTGACATCTAAGAATACGAATACCATCCAGAGGAACATGAGCCACATCATAGTCACTCTTGTTTTAAAGATTTTCCGATATATTCAGGGTAAATATATTATTCTATATGGTACCTCATTCTAGGCAATGTATCTTTGTTTGTAAGGATTATTATGAAGTTAAGGAATCCGGTACATTTTTAAACAAAATAGAATTACAGTGGCAGTATGCAATTTAGTTCCATGTATTCAATGTTTTTTTTCAATTGTTAATTGTAGTTTTATTGTAGTTTATTTTAAAGGATTGTGATCTTTCTTTTTATTTTATGTCTGATTTTCTGATATATAGAGGGCTGGTAATATTTAAATATATAAAGGGATCTTAGATGTCTTATCAATTAACAATAGTTACTTTCATTCATATGTCCACTTGATAAATCCCAGTGCATTTGCAAACGGAATGACTTCAGCTTTTCCTTCGTCAACTTCCCTTATTTATGTAGTAATATTCCAGCATCACCTGCATGTGGTGTTTATGCCTCCCAACAGATTCGATACGCAAGAGCATGCTCTGTGTAGATCAATATCTAAACCGAGGCAAGCTACTGAAAAATAAGTTGATGTTACAAGGATTTCCACTACCTCGTTTAAAGTTTTTTTTATTTATATATGGTGACTGGACGACAGAAGATACTTACCCTAAACTCCTTCTAGACACCTGATCCCACCTCCGCTGTTTCCAGGGATCTGTGTTTTCGCCCTGTTCACGACTCATTTTGTTTACTGCATTTTCGAGATTGATCATTGTTTGTTATCTTCACCTTTTACATTGTGCAGTAAAGAGGTATAGCTTAAGGTTTTACAATGTCGATACCTTATTTTAACTGTTGCAATAATTAATTTTGGTTTTCCTGCTATATATTTAATACTCTTTAAATCTTAAACAGCAGGTGCAGTGGAACTATAGACAATATCTTCGGATTCTGTCAGTGCTTGTCGAAATGCATTAATTTCAAGCATTTTTTCTTTCTCATGCTTTTTGGTGACATGCAAAAATCAATTATAATTGTGTTTATACTACTGTATCAAACCATGATGGAGGTGTAGTAGGAGCCGAAAAGGGTATTATTTCCCACTATCAGATCTGGCCTGTTCTCACTCAGTGGTGCTGTGGGTCAAGGGGAATATTTGAAGCATGTATTTCTCCGTCATCTTTGACTACCCAAATTAACCACCACTGCATTGCATAGTGGGATAAGAGTTTAATTTCAGGCATTATCATCCCTTTTTGGGGAAAAAATAAAGGGCCTATAAAGCTACCATTTTTCACTCTCAAATTGGGCCTATAGGATACCACAGTCTTATTTTCATTCCTTTCGCCAGAAGAAACCAAAACTTAGGAGAGCTAAATTTCTTTAAGAAGTATCTCTTATCAGATTTTTGGAGAAGTCGCTGGGGAAACTAAGAAGGGTTTTCAAAGGAATCTGTTGAACCTGACAGGGTTAGTTTCCTGTACTTTGGCATTTGTCACATTGTACATAAGATAGTGGTTAGAGAATGGTTAGACAATAGTAACCTTCAATCATTATTTCATTATAAAATGTGAAAATAATGACAAAATTTGGATTGTTGACTGATTGGCCACTTTAGCTCCTGCACTCCTCAAGGTCCTCTATCCTTTCATTAATGTTGGTTTGTTCTTTTTTTTTTAGATTTCCTAATAAAAATAAAAGAATCAATCACAATTTTTGAATTTATTTTCCTTATTGGCTGCTAATTTTTGCAGGCTTAGTGGCTGCTGTTATTCACTGCTAGGTTTAGCTTAGTTTACGTTAGTGCTATAAAGCTCTATTAAAAGGGCTTTAATGATTAATTGAGTAAGAAAACAGAAATATTAATAATACAATGGAGAATCTAGATACTCTACAGTAAGGATTTTCAAATTATCTAAGAGGATTCTGAAGAAATAACCTATCAGAAATGTTACTTATGTTGTATAAGGTTAAAGACATGTTTTTGACTGACATTTGTGGAAACAAAGTAGAATAATTTGCAACTAAACCCTTTACTGACATTTGATATGGTGACATATACCCAATACCCTTGTACTAACATTTGATATGTTAATAAATCCATCCAATCCTTTTAAGACTTTTAAATTTCAAATTTGACATTAAAAATTTCATAGACAAAAAAAGAAAACGAATTAACACCCAATCCTTATGCAGTTTTCTGTCATTTTCACGCATCAAATTTCAAAGATTTAAATAATATAGACAATCAAGGAAAGTTTGTTGTCAAATAATACAGACAATCAAGGAAAGTTTGTTGTCAAATAATACAGACAATCAAGGAAAGTTTGTTGTTTTTTTCTCACAACGGAAAACACACCAATGCATGAAAGACTTAGGTACAGGAAATGACAGGAAGTGACAGTCTGGCATTTTCTAGTGAAATGGGATACGTACATGTTTGACTGTAATTACTTTACAGACACATATAGTGAAGTCAGATCATTTCCTTCCCGACCCACTAGATAAAGACCTACGAGAGTCGTTCAGAAAGTAATGTCACTTACGATTAATCATAATATATGTAGATGCAGTTAATTTTATTTTTTCAGTCAAAAAGTTCTATTTAAGAACTCCCAAACACCGAAAAGCTTATGCTTTTTTCTGATGCCTTCGTAAAGAAATTTTAAAGTTCTTTTAAAGTAAGCAGGGTCACTTCACTGAGCTGAAAACTGTTTAAAAATGGTGTCTGTCAAGAAGATGAAAACTAGGGCTTACGTGAAAACTGCGCTTCACTACAAAAATTGCTGGAGAGCCTACATGAAGATATGGTTTAGATATCTGGAATGACTAGTCACGCAGTATGGAGTTCAGATGGATTTAGAAATTCAGAAGTGGAAAATGAGAGTTAAAAGTTCGCAGTCGAACTGGTCGATCGCAAAATATAGGAAAACCAAAAAATGCCGATGCTGTGAGCGACATGATATCTGAAAATGCCAGATTTACAGTTAAAGACGTTGCTAAGGCACTTAAGATTTCATCACCACAGTTTATAGAGTTCTGACAAAGGAAATGAATCTAAAATATTTCTGTCAAATGAGTGCCTTGTCTACAAGAAAGCAAATATTAAATGTGCCAAAGGTCTATTAAAGTCTGAAGATTTTAACAATTGAAGGTATGATAAAAACATGGGTGATGGGTGACGAAACATCGATGTGCATTTTATAGTCCAAATGAAAGATCAGTAATAATAAAAGTTGGACTCATATTATTGCAAAGAGAAGCCAGAACTCCAAATTGGTCTTATAAGTTTTTTTATACCCGAGTGGTCTAGTAATACGTGTATCTTACACCCAAAGGAAGGGCCATCAATGGTATATTTGAACCTCTCTTACAGGAAATCTGCCTAACGTTCCTCTATACAATAAAAGCTCTTTCCCTGAAGTGATTTTCTTGTACCTGACAACACTGTTACAAATAAGCATAAAGAGGTAACGATAATATGAAGAAAGGAATGTTTACAGAGCTTAGCCACCGCCGTAGTCACTAGATCTCAGTCATTATATATGACGTACTTCTATTTCAAAAATTCAAGAAAACCGTCAATGGAAGACGCTGCAATTTTAAATCTGTTGTAAGGAGTGCTACCCATCAGTGTCTTATAAGCTATCCCAAAAAGAGTGTGCTGAGGAGTTATGGTCATGTGTACAGAGAATTAAGACATGTGTAAAGATCACCAAGGAATACTTTGAGGAATTTAAAATAAAAAGATACAATATTTTTCATGCTTTTCTTATTGTTGATGACCTTTTGTAGTATTTATTATATTAAGGTTTAGCTTATATAATAGAAATTGTTATATTAAGGATTAGCTGATATATTAGAAATGACACGAAATTCCAAACCTGTCGATCTGTAATTCTATAAGATAAAAGAAGAATTTTTTAGCAGGACAGGGGATAACATGAAACTGTAAATCAAAATAAGGAAATGTTTAATGGATTTCCAAAGCTCTCCATATTTGTATTGTTTGTTTACACGAAACAGGAAGGAATTATTTATTTTTTAGGGCGGTAAACTTTTAGAATGATTTAATCACCTTTTAAATCCTTAGTGCTTCTCATGACATGCAGGGTTCAATTGCTCATCTTCATTCTATACCACTCTGATGCAATTCATTGGTGTCCATGTAATATCTGAAGTATATTATCTTCATACTTAACCGAAGTATGCTCATACTTAACTTTGAAGACATATATACAGTATTTACCCGGTACACATTAACATAGATATCATGCGTATCAACATACTTATCTTGCAAGTTGTCATAATCTGCATGTTAATAGATTATATTGCATTACCTAAAAAATAAGTTTAAAAATGTGGATATAAATAAGTCACTTGTAAATAGAATTTTCCTGCATTTTACTTAGTTACGTTGCCTCTGGTGAGACATCAAATCTCGGCATACTATTTTAAAGAAAATATCTAAACCAGTAAAACAAATTATAAATGGCAATATTTGGCAAAATATGGCCTAATACAAAATGGTTATTCTTCTAGAGTAACAGAGAAATGCTTATCAAATATTTAACGAGGTAAGTTATTGACAAACAAATTGATGAAACAAGAATATCAGCAGTCTCGTTTAAAGTCGTCATTTCGTAAGTTTTATGGTCGATACAATGACCTTGTCAGCAAATACAATTTATCATTGGGTCAAATGCTGACTGACGTTTTTAATACTAATTGTTAGGCCATTATTTACACACTGAATTGTCGATGGATTTTTCAGTTATTTCCCGATCATGACTAGGAGAACACGGCGGGTGTGACCGGTCGGCAGGGGATGCTCACTCCTCCATGTCACCTGATCCCACCTCTGATGTTTTAGAGGTCCGTGTTTGCTCTGCTCCAAATTTGTATTGTTTAATGGACTTCCGAGTTTGAGTTTAAATACTGTTCGTTATCTCCATACATTTCAATTAAGAAATTAATTTTTGAAAATTCATGAGGACATAAACTACGACACTTCACGCCGGCATGTATATATATATATATATATATATATATATATATATATATATATATATATATATATATATATATATATATATATATGCATTATATATATATATATATATATATATATATATATATATATATATATATATATATATATATATATATATATATATATATATATATATATATATAACGTGTAAGAAGCACGTTCGAGCGTTAGAGTTTCATTATATATATATATATATATATATATATATATATATATATATATATATATATATATATATATATATATATGTACCGGTATTTCACGAAACTCATAAATTTTCAAAAATTAAATCCAGACCTTATATAAATTTCGTTATTTATCTGTTGAGTTGTCGAAAATCATGCCATTCAAATATCATTTTTAACATAAAACGGTTTACATTATAGTTTTGACGTCAAAACTGCAATAAACATGTGTGGAAAGCCGCAACTAAACCCCCCCCCCCCCCCCCGCCCCTCCATTATTACTATTTTACCTACATAATCATTCCTAAAATAAAATCTCACCAAAAAATAAAAATCATGATATTTTTAAAAAATATCATTTTGCAGGAGTAAACATACCCTTCTCTGTCGAGTTTCAGTGTACGCATTATTTTTATTTCGCCCAAAATTATAATTATTATCACTATGACAATTTATACGAATAAATCCCTGTAAAAATAATATACCGATTGAAAATATAATAAAAAAAACCACCTCGTGATTTAAAATGATACCCGCACATAAAAATTTACCGTTATCAGAAATTGAAAACTATTGTCAACAGTATTGTAAACAAGAGGCCCATGGGCCACTACGCTCACCTGAGCACATTGGCTAAGCAAAAGCACAAATCGGTTCAGTATTGAAAAGATTACCGAGGGTGGAGTGGGGGAGAAGGGGTGGAGTGGTGGTGGTGGTAGGGGGGGAGGGGGGAGTTGTATTTTAAACTACCTAACGATGCTTCCATGCCAACATAACAAATGGCTTTGTTGTACTTGAGAAGATTTTAACAACATTTTCCCATATATTCCTTTTTAAAAATTTTATCCCCCATTGTGGCTCCTCCCTATCCCAGGCAATGCTTCCATATCAAAATGACTAATCATGGCTTTGCAGTTCTTCATCAGAAGAAATTTTCCTATATATTTCTATGTAAAACTCTGATCCTCCATTGTGGCCCCACCCTACCCCCGGGGGTCATGATTTGAACAAAATAGAATCTACACTACCTGGAAATGCTTCCATATAAATATGATCAATCAGGGCTTTGCTGTTCCTGAGAAGATTTTAAAAATTTTTCCTATATATTTCTATGTAAAACTTTAATCCTCCATTGTGGCCCCACCATACCCCTGGGGGTCATGATTTGAATAAATTTGAATCTACACTACCTGAGGATGCTTCCGTCTAAATATGAGTCATCATGGCTCTACTGTTCTTGATAAGAAGATTTTTAAAGATTTCCCTATATATTTCTATGTAAAACTTTGATCCTCCATTGTGGCCCCACCCTACCCCCGGGGGTCATGGTTTGAACAAATTTGAATCTGCACTACCTGAGGATGCTTCCATATAAATATGACTCATCATGGCTTTGCTGTTCTTGAGAAGAAGATTTTAAAAAAATTTTTATATATATTTCTATGTAAAACTTTGATCCTCCATTATGGCCCCACCCTACCCCCGGGGGTCATGATTTGAACAAACTTGAATCTACACTACCTCAGGATGCTTCCATAAAAATATGACCAATCAGGTCTTTACTGTTCCTGAGAAGAAGATTTTTAAAGATTTTTCCTTTCTACTTTTAAGTAAAACTTTGATCCTCCATTGTGGCCCCGCCCTATCCCCAGGGGTCATGATTTGAACAAACTTGAATCTACACTACCTGAGGATGTTTCCATATAAATATGACTCATCATGGCTCTGCTGTGGTTCTTGAGAAGAAGATTTTTAAAGATTTTTCATATATATTTCTATGTAAAACTTTGATCCTCCATTGTGGCCCAACCCTACCCCGGGGGGTCATGATTTAAATAAATTTGAATCTACACTACCTGAGGATGCTTCCATATAAATATGACCAATCAGGTCTTTACTGTTCCTGAGAAGAAGATTTTTAAAGATTTTTCCTATATATTTCTATGTAAAAATTTGATCCTCCATTGTGGCCCTGCCCTACCCCCGGGGGTCATGACTTGAACAAACTTAAATCTACACTACCTGAGGATGCTTCCACATGAGTTTCATCTTGCCTGGCCCTGTGGTTCTTGAGAAGAAGATTTTTAAAAGATGCTATTAATTTTTCACTAATTCTTTATTATCTCCCCTTGAAAGAGGGCTTGGCCCTTCATTTGAACAAACTTGAATCCCCTTCACCCAAGGATACATTGTGGCAAGTTTGGTTGAAATTGGCCCAGTGGTTCTTGAGAAGAAGTCGAAAATGTTAAAAGTTTACAGACAGACAGACGGACAGACAGACAGACAGACGGACGGACGGACAGACGGACGGACGACGGACAACGGGTGATCAGAAAAGCTCACTTGAGCTTTCAGCTCAGGTGAGCTAAAAATGATAAAATTCTAGGAAGTTTATACAGTTCAAATAACAGTAAGATGTCTTTCAGTCACTGCAATTTTTAAGATATTTTGATAAATGTAAGAAATGAATTTAATTTTTGAGAATTCATAGAGACATGAACTACGACGCTTCACACCAGCAATTTCATGAAGCGCGTTAGAGTTTCATGATAAATATGCAGGCGTGAAGTGTTGTAGTTCATGTACCTCATGAATTCTAAAAAAGTAAATTCATATCTTATATTTACATTTTTTTTCCTGATTGACTTGCCATGAATTAATTTCATTCAACGATCACTTCGGAAACAAAACAGCACTATAGTTTTGACATCACGAAATAGATAATCTTGTTCATCCAAAGTTGTTCATGAGAAAATGAACTTTTATTTAAGGAAGAATATTTGGAAATATAAATATTTGATTTTCAACGAACATGTTTCATGAAAAAAGAATATTAAAATATTGCTTTCAAGTTTGAAAATATTAAAATTTAAGGAACTTTTAAATGACCTAACCTTGACTAAATTTTACGGTCAAACGTCAAGGATAACAATTTTACAACGCTGACATACGTAATTATTCAGCCCATAGCAAAATTCCCTTCCCCATGGCTAAGAAAAGCTTAGGAAAAATACAAACAAACACACTTTTAATACCCTTTTACCCAGTTTTTGTTTTGTATTTTTTGAATCACAATTTCAAAGATACCTCTATGTTACTTATCTAAATGAATAAGAAAAAAAAATAATTAGAAAATGAAAAAAAAAAGTGTTTATTCAAAGTAAAAAAGGAAGTAAGTACGAATTATAGCATCAAGTGGTTCATAAAAGTAATGAAATTTGTAAGAAAATGTAAACATTCGATGTTTTGTACTAAGAAATAATTATGTTCTAACACAAAAAACACATAACTACGTATACAAAGTCCAGAACATTCTTCAAAAGGCATGTAAGAGATTCATACCAATACAAAAAGTTGACAAAGATCAGAAACTTATAGTGACAAAAAGATGAATGATGCAGGTTTTTTTCCTTGGATTTCGTGTTAGCTTCACTGCATTATTTATCTGAACAGACTGGACATTTTGTGGTTTAACATTCCAAACTTTTCAAAGAGATCGACCTCCCCCTGTAAAGAGAAGAATCACATTATTTGCATTATGTAGGTGATGGCTGATTTAAAGAAGTAAAAACCTGTCCATACTGAAATGAAAGTTTGCATCACGAGGTTCCTATCATGCTTATTTTAATTAATGTGAATGATAAAGCCAATTAAATGTTTATATGAAGATTGTTACTGTAACAAGCTTTGAAAAATAATGCCAGTAGATCATGTTTCTTTAAACTGCTCTTTTGGTTACATTTTGTTCAAGTCACCGCTGACAGTAGCGTAGCAATATTAACAATCCCCCCCCCCCCCCCCCGGCCCAATAAAAGATAAACACCGACAATCAGTTAATATCTTTTTAACAGCAAATCTTACAAGGAAGTTTGGACAGTAAGCGGTTTGGCAAAACAATAGGTATTTCTATTTATAACTAAACACACTATCACAGATATTTAAAAATCTACCTAAAATCGTCTCTCGTCTTTACTTCCTCATGTGTTATGTAGTTGATGAAAATAAAGAGGTGGAGGATTTTATATGATAAAGTGCTTAGTTTGTTTGATGGCTAATGAGATCTAGAATGACACATTGTATTTTTCCATAGTACTATGTTTGTCCCCTTATGACGGAGATACAGAAAAATTGGGTTTATTCTAACTTGAAACGTGAAAGATAACAAAGAAAAAATGGGGTTTACTTTAACTTAAAACGTGACAGATAAAATTGCTACATTGATTGTTACAATACACATTATGTACATTGTAATAGTCCAAGGATACAATATCAAACATCAAACAGACGCTTAATTTCAATTATAAAGTCCTCCATGGACTTTTTCATCTGTGGATACAAATACATGTACTAGTAAAAAAATAATTTACAGAGAGAAAAAATTCAAGCAGTCATATTCTACATCTAGTCGGCCTGGTCACTTAGATGCATCAGGATATCTGATCTTGCATATTATTGAACATGTACTTTTCTATATTTTATCCAACTTGCAAAGTTTCTATTTCAACAATATGACTTAAAGAGGTCACTATTTGAAGCATTTTAAATGTCAAATAAAATTCAAAATATAACTTAGTCCCAGGGAGGATTAATGATTTGAAAGATAAGCTTAAAGGTTAGGTATTGTAAGCACTGTTGACCCTTACCTCTTCAATTTTATCTCTGCATTCTCTTGGTTTGTCAAAAACTCTGGGGTCGTCTATCCCAGGTTCAACTCCTGTGTATCCAATGCTTGCCATGAAACCTCCTAATAATAATAATAATAATACTATCTGTTCAGTATTTTAATAATCAAATGTAACTAACAAATATTACAGTAACTCGATTATAGCGAAGTTCTAGGGACCTGTAAATTTACTTCATTATTTCCCTATAATGAACTTGTTAAAGTATATAAATTCGTAATATACATGTTTTCCTTCAAGTATGAGTGTCGAATAGTTTCAATGCAGTATTGAATGTATAGAAAACCTATCTTGGATTACCAAATTTTTCAGATGAAATGAATTTCAAATATAAATAGGAAAAGTAATGTCAGTTCAATACTCTTTAAATTTTGAGATCTTAAAAAAAATCGTTATGAAAGATGCTAATATATTTTTGACCTCTACAGGACTTAGATTCAGTTCGTTATATCCGTAAATTCATTATACCTGAGTGCATTCTAACTATAAGAAATATAAAGGAACTGTTAAGCATTTTGCAGGGGATCCCGAAAAACTTCGCTATATCCGTACATTCAGTATATTCGTGTTTGTACTGAACAAGTTTTACTGTATATTCAATTGACCTTGAATATGGCCATTTTTTGACCTACATCTTTCACAATTCTTGACTCCTGTTTATTTACAAAATAATTTACAAATCTATCTCTTCTTGGATCTCTATTCATACCTTTCTCGGTGCCCCCCGTGACAGTCTCTCCGATAGGGATACATAACTCATTAGTAACCATGAAGTAAGCATTTCCCTTGACCCTCTTTAGTGGGATCTCGTATGAACTGACGTCTAGTGAATCAGTAGATGTTCCCAAGTGTGTGTCACTCACTTTTTTGCTTTCGCCTGTGAAAGGTAAAAGAAGAAGAAGAAAAAAAAAACAAAACAATGTGATGGGCCAATACACGTTTAACTTCTGGTCGAAGAATATTTAACGATCTGATGGAGTAACATCAAGCAAAACCCAAAGTCATATTCGTCCTATGAAAATATTGCAAATTGATTTCGTACATTAAAATTTTGCAAACCAATTTAATTTATACAGAGTTGTAAAGTGTATGTATTTTATATGTTTGCGAGTACAGCCTGTATATCATGTACACCGTGACATCCATTTGATATCAGGTATACAACAAAGGAAGAAATTTTAATTTTAATTTTATTTTATATATACCCGGCATTTACAACATCAGTTTTACCTTGTACGTTTTTGGAGCGAAGTTAAATTAATCAGACTCGCTAAAGTCACTTTAAAAAAAAAAATGCTCTCCTGCATTCTAAAAAATGTTGCAAATTATTATTTTACCGTTAACTATAATTATTTGCCCTCCATTTAAAATAGGTATTAAGTTTCCCTAGCAGATACACGCATAGTGTCCTAAAAATATACTTTGCATCATAATGAATTATTACAATAACTTGACCTGACCCTGTACCTGAAAATAGAAACAGACTTACTAGGAACACAAGCGGGCTTAAATTCCTTTCCTCTCAGTCTTGTTGTATTGCAGTTACCATTCACGACAACATACTGAACTCCCTGGAGTAAAGAAAATATATATTATAATAAACATTTATACCATCATGACTATTATCAGATAATGAGTAACACATCTAAACTGTGTTCAATACTCACTGCTTCAAAGTTTTGGATCATTGCTCCTCTGAAGAACTTGCCGTCTACAACTCCCTCTGAAAAGGCGGCTATTTTTGTGTTCTTGGCATCATAGAAAAGCCGGACTTTTCCCTACGTTAAAAAATAGTTTTCATAATCTTACCATGCATTCATCTAAGTCTACTGCCTTTTATAGCCTTTAACACTATACTTGTAGGGTCAGGGTCATTTTGGGAAGGTAGTACATACTGAATACAACACACCTGGGGTATATTGCCTTACAAAGTATGACGAATACTGAGACGTTTTGTACCCCGAAATACCCTACTAATACGTTTATTTTGCACAATCAGGAAATATGAGGGAAGAAGTCTTTTCATAGCACAAGATAATAAACTTTATGTTCTTGGTCTTCATAATGCAAATCATGAATATTCAAGAAAATGAACCTGAGGTGAATGCGGTCACGGTGATATAGAAAAGGTGAGATTACAATTTCTAACATGAAGTTTACCCTCATATAGAAACTTTCAATTATAAATATAAGTCTTTATGAATGAATGAATGTGGCATTTGTAAATGGTTCATTTAAACATTTTCATTGATGTTTGGAAATGTTGACAGGTTCTACAAATTTGTCTGATGGACAAGAGATGAGATTGACAACACCTTATGACCCCGTGTAGAATTCCACATTTTCTATTAACCCTTGTTTATAAATTACCTCGTCTATATCATACTGTATACACAACAGTATGCTACCATTTTAAATTAATTACTACTGCTATATTAATATAAAATATATTGCAGTAAAAATCCAGTGCTTACATAAACAGAGCGGGTTAATATCCAGGACAGTTATTTTTTTTACTTACCGCTTCGTATCCCCCTTTCCCGTTTTTATTAGTGCCGACCAAAAAACCCATATCCCCTCTCCATTGTTCGGGGGTGCAGCATCCCTGTGTCAAATGGCAAAGTAAAGGAACCGTCAGAACTGCGAGAAAGATGGACTTCATTCTTCTGGTGGGGGATTTCGTTAATCGATTCTTCCGTGTACAGTACGGTTTTATACAGCTGTGATCACATGAGTCTTACTTTCTCGTGACTTGTTTATTTTGCATACCTGTTTACAGGGTGTTTGGAAATTCATCGTCGAGTTAGTGAAATTTGATATCGATGCTAGATATTTGAGGGTGCGTCATGGTCAGGTACTTAAATATTTAGGAGAGTGTCGTCCCCCCCTCCCCCCTTTACTTCTAGTCTGTGACGGTCTTACTCCTCCTTTCTATTAAGTACTCTTTCCCTCTAAATCCCCCCTCTTCATACTCCCTTTCTACCCTTGTCCCTCCTTACATCTTCTTTCTCCTACCTCCCCCCCCCATTAATTAAAATGCCCTAGATTGTGATAGGCAATATAATGAATATGTATATCTGCTATCACTATACGATCTGCTTAATTTGATATTTGAATTAATAATTCTACATATCATGCATCTGTTTAAAATATTTGAAAAGTTCCTTATGTATTCATGAAAAACCTCTTAACTTGATTTAACAAAGCTGTCGTAAAGATGAACAAGACTGGTTTAAGAATTTAGGACTCAAAAGGGACAACAGGAAATAACATGACATATTTACATAAATCTGCGTGAATGTGTGAAAAAAAGGTAGAATTTCATGACTGAAATATAAACAGTCTCTGGGAAATGTAGATAGTCATTGAAAAATAATGTAGATATGTCGTGAAACAATTCAATATTTACATCGGATTTTGTATAAAAGAATTTTACCAACATAGTAAAGACAAATTTATGGTGGCATATTTCTGCCCCTTGTGTGCAAGTTATTTTTCTGTCAAACATGTCGACATGCAAGATAAATATGTTGACATGCTAGATAGTTATGTCAACATGCAACATAACTATGTTGACATGCAAGAAAATTGCAATCAAATAAGAATTATAAAAAATCTTTAAAATATCTCAAAAATTGCCCACATGTGACTTCCAATATGCTAGATGCTACTTATTTATGTCGACATGCAAGTTATTTATGTTGACATGCAACTTACGTATGTTTACATGCTACTTATTTATGTCAACATGCAACTTATTTATGTCAACATGCAACTTATTTATGTCAACATGCAACTTAGTTATGTCAACATGCAATTTGTTTATGTCAACATGCAACTTAGTTATGTCGACATGCGAGATAAATATGTTGACATGCAACTTAATTATGTTGAGTAGCGGATATATATAATTTCAAAAAAGTAAATATCCAAAAATGAAATCACAAATCGATGTAAATGTCTGAAGACCCAGGAATGGCGAAAAAGTTTACAGTGAATATGATCGATTTGAGATTTCATTTTGGATATATCCTTTTTTAAATATGATCGATTTTTAAAATGATAAGATTTTGAATTAAATGATTAAATTTAAATGCAAAAGAAATTATGTGATACACAGTTTGAACATTTGTGCGAGCGTGCAGATTCGTTACTACCCAAGACACGTGCAATGAGGCACGGTTCTGTTTTTTTTTTCTGTTGGTAAAATTGAAGTTGATTTTAATGATCGAAAATTTATTTAAGCAAATGTTGCAGTTTAAATTATTTTCTATAATATGAGGAGGACAACAAAGTATAAATTGGATTTCCTTAGATAAAATGTCCTGGCGATTCAGAAACGTGACCGTAGATTATAAAACGTTTTTAGGGCCCCTCTCTGCGGGCTACCTATAGTAATTAATGTGTCCGTCCGTCAATCTGTTCGTCCGAGGTCTCTTTTAAAGGGTGTGCAGTGACTTTGAACTATGATTCAAGGTCTAAGGTTAAGGTCATAGCAGAACTGTATCTGAAAAATGCATGTAAACATAAATAAGTTGCATGTCGTCATAAATATGTTGCATGTCAACATATTTATCTCGCATGTCAACATAACCAAGTTGCATGTCGACATAAATAAGTTGCATATCGACATAAATAAGTTGCATATCAACATTTTATCTTGCATGTCAACATAACCAAGTTGCATGTTGACATAAATAAGTTGCATATCAACATATTTATCTCGCATGTTAACATAAATAAGTACCATCTAGCATGTTGGATGTCACATGTAGGCGATATTTGAGATTT